ATAAAAATGACAGTTCACTCATACTACTTCTACACAGTTAGGGTTCATTCAGTCAATCATTTGTTTATCCAATGAATGTTGAGCCCAAAATCCATGCATGTACTGATGAATAAGACTTGGAGGATAGGAATAGAAAGATGTAAAACATGTGTAACTAATATGTTGCAACCATCACACATCTATCAGGGCTTTCCCACATGAACTGACGTTATCATTTAAATGGAAATCCTTGTCTTCATTTATTAGTCAATGCACACCTCTCTCCAGGTAACAGCTAAGCCTAGTGAGCTGAAGTGTCCGGTAAATCTGATTTCCAATGGTCAGTACTGTGTGTCTGGGCAAGACAGTCATAAACACTAACTATAGTACAAAGAAGCCCACGTCAGTCAAAACACTGCAGTCTATTTCTTCAGATGGACACTCTCTACAGCAATCACGGATATATGGAGGCATTTTGGCACGCAGAGGTGGGTTTGATAACTAGAAGATGAGAACCGTCTTGAGCCTGGAGTTCAGCACATGAGTGTGTCTCAGCTGAGAAGCTGTGTGGCCAGCGGCATTTCAGAATGTATCTCTAACTTCTTAATTCTGCATTCTGTGAATGTCAGGGAATTTGGTTCTCATCCTTTTTATGTTTGAGATCCTTTTTTGTAGCATGAAATGTTGCTTGGATATCTACATAATAAGAGTGGTACTTTTTGAATTTGTTGATAGTTTAAGAAAAAAAAATGCACAGGTGGACTCACAGGTATCTTAAAATAAACCTGCAAAAGATGGTATGATGTATGAGATGTAGATGATGCCTGAGATGTAGATGATATCCAGGCTTCCTTCACATGCAAGACTCTATGATGCTTCTATGGCTTTGCTACCAACGGCTTTTCCTTGACCACTGAGTGGGAAGAGCACCCACTACTTCCTAAGGCAGCCCATTTTGCTGGTGATTGTCCATGGTGTTAGAGCAAATACGGAGCAGAAATTCCCCTTCCTTTAGCTTCCACTCATTGGGCCAGGTTCCACCTCTGAAACAACATAATCTAACCATGATTTCTCCCATACAACAGCTTTCCATGACCATCTTAAAAATCCAGAAGATTGGGAGCTTATAAGGATGTGCAAACCACAGCAAAATAGCATATATTACAGAAAGAGAATGAGAAAGAAGGAGAACAATGAATCCAGGAAATGAGTTTCAAAATCTACTCTATTAGTGGTTTACAGGTAGCCCACAAGTGTGGCTCTAAGTTTTCTAGCAGCCAACTTGCAGGTGGAAACCTTATCAGTGGCCCAATTAACAACGTCCTCAAGTATGACTCTCTTCAGGACAATAATTAGTATACCTGTTACTCAGATCAGACAGGGGGAGCCACAATGTTCCTCATAGAAAAGTACTCTATGATGTCCTGACCACATGTTCATAAAAGACTGTCCATCAAATTTGCAGCATAACGATCCACAGTATAACAATAGACATCACACCAAGATACTGTTTAGGAAAAGCAGTTCTTCCAAGGGCTAATACAGTGAGGTCTAGGTACCTAATTCCATGTTGCTGATCTGGTTTCATCTAGGGATATATTCTAGAATATTTGGAAGACTGGATCAAATGCAGGCCTGGTAAGCAATTTTCCTTGAATATGGGCCTTCGGATGAGCTTTTGATAAATATTAATTAAGCTTTTGATTAAATATTAAATAAACACACACTTACCCTATGCCAGGCACTGTTTCGAGCATTTTTACTTGTATTATCACAATAATTGTACACAGTGTTATTACTATAGACTTCATTTTAGAGATGAGGAGACTGAGGCACAGAAAAACTAAGACTGTTGGCAATTGGTGGAGTCAGGATTTGAACTTAAGGCATCCAACCCAACCTCTCTCTTAACCTCTACAGAAACCTAAAAGGCATTTAAGTTGGGTTAACATTCTTTTGTGAAAGTTGAGGATTGGAGGAGAGGGGGTGATTATGAGGTCAACTTATTTCTGCTGAGAAACAAGTCAAAGCAAAGGGAATTGACATAGGCTTACAAAAGAGTGTGGAGGGAAGGGCAAAAAGGCAGGGATAGAAAGGAAAGCACAAAGTAGGTATGGACGTTAGAAGATCATTTCTCTTTGTTCCTTTTTCTAACTTAGTCAAGTTACAAAATATGGTGGGTCAGAATATGGTGGGTCACAAATTATTTAATGCTCTTCCCTCCAAGATGGAGCCCAACTTCCTTCCCTCTGAGAGTGAGTTGGATCTAATACCTTACTTCTAATGAATAGAATTTAAGCGAGAGTGACGGCCTGCAACTTCAGGGATTAGGTCATAGAAGGACTGTGGCTTCCTGTTGGCTCTGTCTCTTTGACCAAGTCAGCTGCCATTGTGGGGACAAACAGCCTAAGAAGAAGGTGACATGTGAGAAACTGTGGCCTTTTGCCAACAGTCAGCGAGGAACTGAGGCCTTCTTTGCCTACAGCCACTGAGTGCACCATCTGGGAAGGAATCTTCCAGTCCCAGAGCCATCAGATAACTGCAGCCCCGGATAACAGCTTCCCTACAACCTCGTGAGAGATCGTGAGCCACAGCACCCATCGGAACCACTCTGAGATCCCTGGCCCTCACAAACCATGAGATAATAAATGTTTATTATACTGTTAACATTTGGGGTTGTTACACAGCAATAGGTAACTATATACAAACCAACAGACAGACCTCCGAAGACAGCAAAACAGAATAAATAAAAATAAAATAAAAACCCATCATCTAGAATTTCCAAAGGCCACAGGAACAGCTTGAATATAGCTTTGCTCCGTTAGGTAAGGTTTGCCCTCAAACTCTCTTAACCCAAAAATATTAAAGCAATTCAATTCACTTCCAAAGACATTTTCCACGATTTTGAGCTTAAATATGTATGCTACTTACCTACCAGGTCTCGTTGCATTACAAAGGGAAAATACAGGCGTTCAAAACTTAGAATTACGTAAAACCTTCTAAAAAGCAAGGAGAACAAATGGCAGCAGAAGATGAGCCAAAGAAAAGCTCTGCGTTGTAAAGAAAGTTAAAATCTTAAAGTCCAGCCTTAGAGAATGAAATGACAGGAGGCAATTAGCAGGCAGAAACATACAACTCAGCCATCATTAAAGACGACTGTAACTCATTTTAAAGAAAACATCCGATCGCATTCAGATCCCGGAATTTAGCAGCCTGCTTTTCCCACACAGAGTCAGTGCAGATTATACAGTCAGTGGGGCTGATGAACGCTGAAAAATGCACTTCGATTTCCATAATTTCAAAGGATGGCTAAAATTACTTGACTTTCATTCTAATACAATCACAATTTTTAATCCAAGGTATTTCTTTCCATTTGGACATTATGGGGTCTCATTCTTATTCAACTTCCACTTCCTTTCCTCTCTTGCTCAGTCCAGGGTTCTGTGTACCCTCTGCATGGGCAGGTAGCAAATTTTACTAAGGGCGACGGTTGTCCATTTATGCACAGGTGACTTACAGCGCACAGCAAAAATTCAGGCCTGGGTAATACCCCTCTGCTATTAATGCCCCTTGTTCCACACAGCTCGTCATGAAGTTTAAATTTTAAAAGAAATGTTTCCCATCAAAATTCAATTGCATGTGATAAGGACTTACACTTTCTTCCTTCTCCTGCCTGCATTAAATTTAATATCAGGATTATTATCCATTTGTCATTTCAACCTATAATTTAGCAAGCCATTTTGTGTTAGAGCTGTGCCCCCCTCACCCCTGGACTGCCAGCTTTGAGCTATATATTCTTTCAAGAAGCTGTCTAGATCATACGGTTTGATCCTTCAGAACAAACATTTTCCCTGCTGTTTATTCCACGTCCCTGAGAGGCATCATTACTTTTGCTCAATTCTATTTAAAATGATTTTTATGCCACCATAAAATTTCAAGGTTTCTGTATTCATCTTCATTTTACTTCTTGAAGTACTTAAGCAAACAATGTCATAAAGACATCATGGAAGGGGGCTTTTCTTTCTCCTTCATGCCTGTCTACTTAAAGGTAATCCTGCAGAAATAAATTATTTGTTCTGAATCTGCTTAGGGTCAGAAGAAAGCTAAAGGTCTGGTCTAATGATTCACAAATTCCTTAAAGTAAATACAGGCAATTTCTATCAACCCCGGCAGTTAGGTCTATAAAGTCGTCACAGATCACTAGCTTAGAGAATACAGAACCACTGCTCCAGGGGAAAGACAGGGGTAGCTTCCCCCAAGCCTCTGGTCACAACAGTTTTGTTAACTGATCAATACCTAGCATGCTTCTGTGTGTTTCTGTTAAAGATACCTTATGTAATATACTTGTTAATATATTGATTCTTTTATACTGAACTCATGACCAACAGCATTATAGTTCAGGCCTGAATGAAGCTAATCTAACACACGTGTTTTCTCTGTGAGGTACGTCCCAGCCTCCCTGTGCTTAGGAATGCTAGACAGCACTTCAGCGCATCACTTGGGGGCCATTTTAAACAGCAACATCACCAATAAAAAAACGCAAAAATGTGAAAAATATGGCTCCGAATAGTCTGCAAAAACAATCCTCATTTACAGGATGGGAGCTGAAACGAGAAGGCAGAACTTTGCCTTGCTCGACTTCAGCTGGAATGTGCATGTCAGGTGACTCAAATTTTTCACCTCTCTGTGCGTCTGCAGATGACAGCAAAGGTGCAGCGAACACGGACGTTGAAGTTACAAATAAATTTTAGCAAATAGGCAAGGTCATGATAAAGATGACTGTACTTTGATAAGCAATTAAAGCAGAAAAGCTTAACATGACTACTTCCTCCAAAATCAACATATTTTTTTTTAATATTTGGGACTGTATATAAGAATTTAAAAATCAATTTTCTTATATATCAGGTCAAAGACGTCTGAGTTCAAAAGGAAAATTAAAATAAAACAAAGATATAGTGGTAGCCAGTTTGCAAAAACAAACACACAAGCAAAGCACACCCAGAGGTGCGGCCATGACTTACCCCGCAGCCCAGGCTGTTGCCTCCTTCACAGGTAATTTTCCTCACGCCTGCCTCGGGCAGCAGTCCTGCTCCGCACCCAGGGCTGGGGCACAGCACACCGCCCATCTGCAGCACGCACTCCTCAGCACCATACTGCTGATACCGGTTGTACTGCAAAACACAACAGGAGTTGATGGATGACAATATATACATGCCAAGATGTGCTATTTTAGCCAAAAGGATGATAGCTCGTGGTGTGTGGGATTTCTTGCTTAACTGGTTTCAGTAAAAAATGAGGGGACAGTAGATAAGGCATGGTCTGTTGTAGAGATAATGCTCTAAATTCAAACAGGCAAAACAGATAAGTGAAGTGCTTGCTTTTTGCATTTCCAGAAATCCGTCTTCAGAAAATCGATTTTCCCAAGTTTGTTTTTTGCTGATACTTCTTCCACCGATTGCATTTAAGCAGTCTTATTTCATATATATGTAACTGAATTTATAATTCTATTACTAAAATGCCGGACACTTACATAATCCATCATCAAGTAATAGTTTTCAAGCCTCTATTCAAGACTCTATGGGGTTTTATAATCATCCTGAAAATAGGCCTTGATATTCCATCCTGTGATAATCGCTGACAGCCCCCGTGACACCAGCTTGAAGAAGAAGAGAACTAATGTGAAAGGACACAGTTTCCTTTTGCCATTGTTCTTTTCTTAAAGCATGGTGTCCTTTATCCCTGAGTTTGTTCCTTTGTGCCACCACCTTGCTCGATTCCCTTTCGTGACTCCCTGCAGCTGCAGCATGAACCCAAACTCTGCGGCACAATTTTCAAAGTCTTCCTCATTGCAGCCCACATTAATTGTTCTCCTTACATTATTTGATCACTACTGTTCTCTAAACTCAAATCAAGCCCAGTGAATTTGCTGAATTATTTAGTTAATTCACCATTCATTGACAGTCTACTATGCACACCCATCTGTCACTGGAGCCTTGTGTGTTGCTATGAATCTGAACAGTTTTCAGTGGAGCTTCCAGACTAAGAAAAACTAGGAAGAAAGACCTAGTGATCTACTTCTGAAAAAATCGGCCAGTGAAAACCTTACAGATCACAACGGTCTGCTTCACAACTGATCCTGGGGATGGTGCTGGACCGGGCAGCGCTGTGTTACATTGGGCACGGGGTCACCATGAGTCGGGGGCCAACTCAATGGCAGCTAACAACGACTACGACAACGAGGTGCCAGGCACTTCTCTGGCTGCTGGGAATGTAAGAGTGAACAGAACAGACAAGCATTTCTGCACTCATTCACAAGAATATAACAACCTAAACACTGAAGGAATTAAAATGGGTGTTATTTCAGATGGTGATAAGTAGAAAGGAGGATAATAAAGCAGGGAAGAGAGAGAGATTCCAGGGGAGATGAGGATTGCAATTTTAAAGAGCTAATTAGGGAATGCCTTACAAAGAAGGTAATGTTTAAGGGCTTTCTGGAAAATGTTACAACCTAGATATTTTATCAGAATAAAACTAAGATATTTCATTAAGCGGTGAATGATGAGACAGTCTATGTAACTGAGAGATTTCATGTAAAGGATTGTTCTATGAATTTTCTAGTACCTATTGCTGTCGAGTAAATTCCGACTCATAGCAACCCTATAGGACAGGGTAGAACTGTCCCACAGGGCCTTCAAGGCCAATCTTTTTTTTTTTTCTTTAATTTTGTTGTTGAGAATATACACAGCAAAACGTACACCAATTCAACAGTTTCTACATTCAGTGACACTAATTACATTCTCGTAATTAATGGTTGAGTTGTGCAACCATTCTCTCCCTCCCTTTTCTGAATTTTTCCTTCCCCCTAAGGTTCCTATCTAATCTTTGGAGTTGCTGTTGTCACTTTGATCCCATATAGATAGTTCTTAAAAGAGTATAATGCTCAAGGCAGACTTTTTTAATTGTTGTACTTTAAGTGAAAGTTGACAATTCAAGTTAGTCTCTCATACACAAATTTATACATACATTGTTATGTGACCCTAATTGCTCTCCCTGTACTGTGACAGCACCTTCCTCCTTTTCACCCCTGATTTCCGGTGTCCATTCATCCAGCTCCTGAACCTCTCTGTCTTTTCAGCTCACCTCCGGACAGGAGCTGCCCATTTAGTCTCATGTATCTAATTGAGCTAAGAAGTTCACTCTTCATGAGTATCATTTTATGTCCCATAGTCCAGTCTAATCTTTGACTGAAGAGCTGGCCTTGGGAATGGTTTAATTCTGGGTTGACAGAGAGTCCAGGGTCCATGCTTTCTGATGTTCCTCCAGTCTCAGTCAGACCATTAAGTCTGGTCTTTTTACTAGAATTTGAGTTCTGCACCCTACTTTTCTCCTGCTCCATCAGGGACTCTCTGTTGTGTTCCGCGTCAGGGTGGTCATTGGTGGTAGCCAGGCACCATCTAGTTCTTCTGGTCTCAGGCTGATGCAGTCTCCAGTTTATGTAGTCAAGGCAGACACTTTTTACTAGTTAAGCTAAACTATCAATTGGTTTTAAGAAGACTTTAGGGAATATTTTTTCATTTAAGTTTTAAAGATTACCTCAGGACAATAGTTCTAGGGGTTCTTCAAGGCTGTAATCTTTACAGGAGCAGATTGCCGGGTCTTTCTCCCATGGAGTGGCTGGTGGGTTTGAACCACCAACCTTTCGGTTAGCAGCCAAGCTCTTAACTATATTGCACCACTAGGACTCCTTCTGAATTTCCTAGAGACCTCATATGTTGAACTTAGTCAAGAGCACATCCTGACATGCCAAGAAAAGACCTGAGGAGCCACGTTGGTGACCTGGTCTCTATGCTCTGCCTGTACCTCATGATTACCTGCATTCTTAAAATTATTAGTAAAGCTTGATTATTCTTGTAAGTCTGACTTGACAGCGTGGCTCTGTGTTATCTCAGTAGCCATGAGACTGGATGAAATTATCCAGACTCTGTGGGGGAGATAAAAAGAAATGCTCAAGAGAGACTGAGAAGTAGCATTTCCTACAGGCAGATGGAGAAGGAAGGGTGTGGGTGTCCCTGGAGGCAACAAACTATGTCAGAAGGAAGTACTGATAAATTGCTCCAAATGCTTCTGCTAAGTCAACTACTGGAAACTGGCTGCAGCGCAAATGTAGATGCCATTGTGATCTTGACAGGCACTTTCAGAGGAGTCATGGAAACAAAAGCCTTGGTAGAGTGGATTCACAAAAGAATTGGAGGGCAGGAACTTCAAGAAATACAAACAAACAACTTTTTCTAAGAATTTGGCTGAAAAGACATGGGATGGCCTCCGTGGAGTTATGAAGGAGTCTGTGAAATTGGAGACGTGACACCATGTTAGTATGCAGAAGGTGATGACTGAGAAGAGAAGGGCAAATTGATGTCTTAGGTTAGAGAAAGAGCTATGTCCTTTAGTGGGCAGGAGGCAATGGGATCTAAAGGATGCCTGGAGGGGCCGGCTTTGCACAGGAGTGAAAACAGCCATCCAGCCATCCTTAGTAAAAGGAAGAAAGGAGAGTGTTGGGTCTGTGTACATCCTGAGAAAGGAGCTGTTGGAAATTTGAAAAAAAAAAGGGAATGCATGAAAGATAAAGGGAGAAGGAATGGATGAGGGGAATTAGTTAATTGCTAGGCAGCACTATGGATACGTTATCAGGAGGGGTCAGTTCGTCCCTGAAGAAGGACATCATGCTTGGTAAAGTAGAGGGTCAGTGAAAAAGAGGTAGACCCTCAATGAGATGGATTTGACACAGTGGTTGCCACAATGGGCTCAAGTATAACAACAATTGTGAGGATGGTGCAGCAGCGGGCAGCGTTTCGTTCTGTGGTATACAGGGTCACTATGAGTCAGAACCGACTCGATGGCACCTAACGACAACAACAGGCAGTACTAACAGCCCACTTGAGGCTAGAGTTTATGAATTTTTAGAGAAATGAGTCAGTAGACTTGTCTTTTATTCTCCACTAACACTTAGCTACAAGAGTGGAGTAGGCGGGAAGTTGGATTTAAGCAAGGTTGGGGTTTTGCCAGACCTTCCTCAACCACTCCCACCCCTGTGTAGTTTTCACACACAACATCTCCTTATATAACTATGAGTGACTTTAACCAGCATTTACCAAGTCCCTCTACTGTGTTCCCCCTTTTCGTCTTGGCGTAGCCAGAAAAATCTTTTTCTTATAAAAGCATAAAGAATGAGAAGGCCAAGCAAAAGCAGAGGTTAATAAATGATAAGGTGACCAATCTTTTAAACACCACCCAGGTGGAGATAGAACTTTGCCCATCAGCCCACTGTGTCTGTTCTCATCAAAACACCCTCACTTCTTCCTAAATTACTCATATTGTTATCACTTTCTTGTTTTTCTTTATACTTTTATCACCCAAGTTTCATCCTATTTGCCTGTTTTGAAAATATATATTTTAGTCTCTAGTTGACCCTTCATTCTCTTTTTCTTTTGCCTTCAAGGGAAACTTGGAATTTATTTGCTTAAGAAATCAGGACCTGTGACCTGTAGCGTTTCCCTCAGTCTGGACTTGACTGATTCTGGCTTACCCAAACCAGAAACCCACGGCATCCAGTCAATTCCGACTCCTAGTGAACCTATACGACAGGGCAGGACTGTCCCATGGGGCTTCCAAGGCTGCAAAACTTTACGGAAGCAGACTACCACATCTTTCTCCCACGGAGCTGCTGGTGGGTTCGAACTGCTGACCTTTTGGTTAGCAGCTGAGCACTTAAACACTGCACCACCAGGGCTCCTGTGTGGTGCTTACAATGTCCCTCAACATCTTATTTCCAGTAAATGGATAGTTGGGTCTACAGGCTTGATCAGATTTGAGTTTGTTTTTCTTTTGGTAATACTACTTCATAGATGGTGTTTTGTTCTTCCATCAAGAGGCTTATAATGTCTAATTGTCTCCTGTTTGAAATACTAGAAATCGTTAATGTTCAGTAACTAGATTAATTCGTTAGGGTTGAAAATGTTGTTTTTAATTCAAACAGTCTTTTGTTTATTAATTAGAATAATTCTATTATTTGGTTACCAGTGGTATAATTTGGATTGGAAAACAAGGTAAATATTTGATTCTTCTTCCGTTTTTTTTAAAAACAGTAACTCAGGACTTAAGCATATTAGGTATT